ATTGAACCCATTATTATTTGAAAGAATTGTATTTCTTAAAAAAAATATGCAATGTGTGTGTTGAAAATATTTTTCTTAATCTTGATGAATAAAAATTTATTATATTTTTCCTGATGAATAAAAAATTTTTTTTTAAATAAATTTAATATTCAGCGGATATTCGGCGGATATTCGGTGAATGACCAATTATCCGGATAATCAACGGATACAACCGCTACTAATTGACAAGCATGCATTTAAGTTAACATTTTAAATGAAACAGAGATTGTTTAGCAACTCCCGCTACCAAAGCTTCAAGATTCAATATAGTGACATAGTTTTAGTTTGCATTTATGATCATATACTGATAATGATTTTAAATTTTGAAATGTTGATATTTAAAGAATCGTCGAGAAAATTATCTCCGTAACTTTCAATGATTAATTATTGAAGTTACTTCTATCAGTAAGCTGTTCCATCAGGATAGATTGAACATTATTGCCCAAATAATAATTAAATTGAATAATAGGGCATCAATCAAGGCATTTGCAATAGAAAACAATTTCAGAAAAATTTCTTGATACAGAAAGTGATTAATATGAATACCTGCAACTTGTAGAGATACAAATGATTATGAATATTATGAAAATATAACAAATGATATAGATAGTGGTTATGGGTTATGATGATGGTATGCGGGTAATAAAACTAAAACGAAAAGAAGCCAGTTAATAATTAGAAAGTAGGCTAGAAAACAAAAGGTTTGATTGAATTTAGAAAAAAAAAATAATGTTTTTTTGATAATAAAAATTATGAATTAATTATAATTAAATTTTAACATAACAATAACGGATATATTTTTCTAATCCAACGATCCATTATAGAGAGAGTGGACTGTTAATATTTTAATTTTGTTCTTTAACAAATCGAGCACTAAAAAAAATCAACATAACCACAAAGGATATCAGCAGGAAATGTAATATTTTGTTTCTAAAAAGCTCTTTGATTAAATCTGATTTAGAATAAATACCCTAGAAGTCTTTAAATGTTATTCAAGAATTGCTGACGGATGTTGTTGATCATTTTTTACCTTCTCTTTTTTCGCATCGAATTCTTCACTTGACTGTCAGCACTTTAATACACTCGATTTTAGCTGAATCGGCTAAAATGATAATGAAACTAAGTGTGGTGTAGTGACAATTGAATAAATATTAAAAGTAACTATTTTGTGCGTGGATTATTTAAACAATTAATTTATAATTGTATATTATCATATATATTATGTCCGATGAAAGGAAAGTGAGTATTAATGAAATAAATGTGTGATGATTTATGAGAAGAGATAGAGGAAGGAGAAACAATTTGATAAAGAAGTTTATTGAGAAAAAAAAAAGTATATTCAATTAATAAATTATCAATTGAATTGTAATGAGAGTAGCGCACACAGGAAACTTTTAAGAAAGCATATAATCAAATAAACAATTAAATTTAATGTCTATATTAATAATAGTTCCAAAAAAAACAATAATAATTCGAGAACAAATAAGAAACTGTTTGGTGTTAATAAATTTAACGAATAATAATATCTTTGGTGCTTTTGCATTAAGCATTGTATTTTTTGCAATATTTTGTCTTAATAAATTCAGCCGAAATCAAGTATTCTGGATAGCTAATTCCTCGGGTGAAAAAATTGGAATTGATGAATTGATCGGTTTATAGAAGAAGTATATACACTGCCTGGAAGAAAGTATCCGAGCCTCGTTTTTTTTATTAATTCCGCAAAAATTCAATTAAAGTTCGTTCGTGTCACGAAGATTATTGTTGCAGTTCAAAATTTTATTAACCAAACCGGGACTGGTGCATCAAGTAAACATGTTTTTAAAGTATAAATTTAAAGTTTCGTTGAATTCGCATTATTAATGAACTTAGGATGAGGATTTAAATTAGACAAAAAATTCTGTGATTTTTATGAAAACTTTGAGCTTAGTAAAACAGTTCAAAACTCCGTTAAAACGTAGATTATGTCATTAAGTAAAATATCTTGAGAAAAATTGGTCTAGTATAGACAACGAAACGTAAAAGCTCAAGAATCTGTATTCTGTTGACTTTTATTAAATATTTTATATAATAAAATTAATAAAAAATAAATAAAACGTTTAGCAAAAGCCAGTCAGTCAGTATTTTGTTGAATTGCAATGACTATCTATGATGGCTTTCACTCTCCTCGAAATTCTTTATTACCTCGGGTTCAATTTTTTTACCCATTCCTCTTTCAATGTAACAATCAAATCTTTTTTATTTTTAGGATGTGGCATCCTTTCTCGAACTTTTCTTTCTAAAACATCCCACAAATGTTCAATGGGATTAAGGTCAGGACTTTGTGCAGGCCATTGAATATATGAAATTGTATCATTTGCTGTATGTGCGTGGGCATTATCATCCTGGAAGGAATATGTCAATTGACCATCTAAACTATCTAAAGAAGGAATTAAATTCTCTCAAGTATTTCTCTATATTTTGAACCAGTAATACGACCATCAACTTAAACTAACGGTCCAAAGTTTGCCATTTACAAAACAACCCCATACCATAACTCCATCACCGCCATGTTTTACTGTTAGGATTAAACAGTCAATGTCATACTTTTCTTGAGGTCTACGCCACACATGATGATGAGAATCACTTTGAAATATTTCAAAACGTGATTCATCACTCCATATTATTAAATCCCATTCATTAACCCAATTTTTTCTTAGACGACACCATGTTAGATGATCTTTTCTGTTTTTTACTTATAAGAGGTTTTCTCAATCCGGCACGGCCATAATAACCTAATTCATGAAGATATCTACGTACAGTTGAAGAGCTTACAGATAAATTATATAGTTGTTTCATTAAATTAGTCAGTGACATTGAAGAGAGTTTGTGTTCTAACTTTTTTAACAATTTTTACAAGACATCTTTTATCACGAGCTGATGCTATCACTGGTCCACCTGGTCTTAGTGTTGGTTTTATTTGCTCCCATCTCTATATCTTGCTATTGTATCGTGATTTGTTGTTTTTTTATGCTCTGTTTTTTTTGAATCCCCCTTTCGCTCAAGCCAGCTTCCCACATACCAATAATCCTTCCGCATTTAAAATCATAAAGTTCTGTTGATTTAAAATTGACTTTACGCATCAATTTTATTTTTCAAAAAATTACGGGATGGTCAGATGCTTTTTTAAAACCCTTTTCACAAACTAATTTATGCTGACACCGTATTGTAAATATACGTAATCCGTTACGTTAAGCACGTTTTATTAAGGTAATAATATACATTACAACAAAAAAAATTGACCTTTTATTACATGTAAAAATTCAATCGGAAATTTGCTTTTTTGGATGATTTGCTAAATATTTCCATTAATACCATACCGAACTGTTCGAAATTTTTGTAATATAGAGTTTTGATATCAAATATGAGTTTGCTTAGTATAGCAGAAAAGGTTTTGTTTAAGAAAACGTACTTTATTTAGTAAGCACTTTTTTCATTTGACGTTACACAGCGCAAGTGGTCGGATATTTATGGTACGTAGGTGTATGTTTATAAAAAATCTTATCAATTGATTAATTAAAAAATTTTTTTTTTAAATATAGAATAATTTTACCAATTCAAGAATTATCATCTTGTTATCATTGTGTTCTCTTGACGATGCAAAGACATTGCTAGCATTGGACCAATTAAATAACAGATAACCAGTCCAAACGCTAACTCTGCGGCTTGACATATTTATAATAATACAAATTGAAAGTAAAGATTATTATTATATTATTATTAACTTTTATGTCAATTACGAAGTTACAACAATGCTTACAATGGAAGAATTAAATGTTACTAAATTTGTACTTTAAAGATATTATGCATAAATAATAATTACAACTAGGGGGTCCTTAGGGATCGGGTCCTGAACAATCCTTTCAAATCTGGTCCCTTTAAGTCCTAAAACGTCCCTGCATAATTTTGCATATTGAAAATTTTACAATGTTTCACATAATACATTTCATCGATAATAGAAATCGCAATTTTTATTATTATTATTATTATTATTATTATTATTAGTATTAGTATTAGTTGATTGCTGACCGAATTCATTAATATTAATATTAATTAATTAAAATAAATGGATACATTGAATATATCGATTGCCAATAACCTTTTATGTTATGAATATTTAGTTGTTTCGCAAAAAGTAATTATCTCAAATGAAATGGGAAATTTTTGGGTTCCCGAATTTTATTAAATTAAATTTTGTTTTTCAAAGGGTTCTTCTTCCATGTTTAGACTCTTTTCCACGCCACTATTCCACATTGCAGATCAAAAGGTAGACACGTATTTTTCAAATGATGGATGATTTTAATTTGGTAATTAATCCAACAACCATTAGAATAATTGATTTTTTAAAAAAATTGTTTATATTATTTATATTACTACATAAAAACACCAATTAAATTAATTAAATGAACATTCATCGTTAATATCTTACGTGACAGTGATCTTGCGAGGAAAACCGAAAGCTATGATAACGCTGCACTACAAAGTCATCGTCAGAATAAATTTTTGACCGGGATAACAATGAGAGGCTTGCACAGACGTTGCAATTGTATAAAATCAGGAAGGAAAAAATATCTTACTCGGATCTCCCTACCTTGGATATTATTAAATTGACTCCTTAAAAGTTTTACTCGCATGGTCTCACAATATATGGAGACAAAGGTTGCATACAAAGAAAGGGAGGAAAAGGATTAAATAATAATAAAAATCCATGTTTTATTTATTTTGATTCATAATAATTTGTAAGATAAAAAACCATCAGAGCAGTTCCACGGAAAATACTCGGACCCAAAGCTATTTATGAGTATTAAATATTGCCTATTCAGATAATCAAATCGATTAATGCTACATGGAGGGATTGTTAAACAATTTCTTTGATGTAATGTTCACTTTGTGCAGTACGTCCCCATATTATTCCCATTTGTTTTGTTTTTATTTTATATATATATATATATATATATAAATAAATAAATTATTATATATATATTTTTTTAAAAAAATAATCCAATTGTTCAATAACAAAAAAAATAAATTCTATATATATAAAAAAATTTTGATATATAAATATTGTTTGCATAAATGTATATAACGTATAAAAAAAAGTCATATAGCAAACGTGTACGTGTTTTAACTATTTTAAAAAAAAAAAATAGTTTTAAAAAAAAAAAATAAATAAAGTGGCACATAGTAAAATGCTATATATATATATATATATATATATGATGTGGGGTGTTGAAAAAAAAAGTTCTATTAAAAAAAAGGAAGAGTAAAAAAATTTCATATATATAATAAAAATTAAAAATAAATATATAAATATAATTGTTTTGATTTTGAAAAAAAAAATATATATTTTACATAAAATACAATGGTTTTTGATCAACAAGTAGTTTTTTTATTTTTATGTACTTGTGATCACCTTGGATAATTCTTAGTCTTTTGGAAAAGAAGAAAAAAGATATTTAATATATAAAATTTCAAATTTTAAAAAAATTTATAATTCAAAACTCATAATAAATACTCACATTAATCTTTACATCAGTTATCCATTCATGCATAAGCCCCTCATCAGGTTTCATACGTTTTTCAGGATCCCATTGTAAACAACGAGATATAAAATCTAAAAAGACTTCATCACTACATTTCAAAGCTTGACCCAAGCTTTTAGAAGAAGGTTTTCTTCTCTTTCCTTTTGAATTAATAACTGGACGAGGATTTCCATTTCCATCTTTTATTAAAAAAAAAAAAAAAAGAAAATTAATCAATCAATTAATTTATAATTGAACAATTAATCATAAAATATTTATATTTGTATTTGTGCTTACCAAAAAATAATTTTTTCCTGGTGCTCTTCTCAATTAAATAAAGTGACGGGACACCTTGAACCTCCATTATACAAGCTAATTGTTCTTGTTCATTTTCTCCAGGGAACAATGGATAACCTTTTTTAATATAATTAATTAATTAGAATAAATTTTTTTTTTTGTGAAAATTTACAAACAGTCAAAAAATCTTTTTTTACCTGTATATAATTCAGCTAATATACAGCCTAAACTCCACATATCAATTGCCATATTATAAGTCATACCCAAAATTACTTCGGGTGAACGATAAAATCTACTTTGAATGTATGTATAAACCTTTTCATTATCGAAGCAACTACTACCAAAATCAATTACTTTAATACTGCTTTTTGTAGGATGTTTAAGTAATACGTTCTATTATTGTTATAAAAATTATTTTTGTTAGTATCTTTTTTTACAAAAAAAGAAATAATAATAATAATACTTTACCTCAGGTTTCAAATCACAATGCACAATACGATGTCGTTGCAGTAATGAAAGTGAATTCAGAAGTTGGACACAAAACCTTTTGATTAATCCCAAACTGAAACCTTGGAAGTTAGTTTTCTTAATGAATTCATACAAGTTCATGCTTAATAACTCGAAACCAATGCACAAGTGATTTCGGAAATAAAAATGCTCATGCATATGAATAATATTAGAAGAATCATCTGGGTCCTATAATTTTCAAAAATAAAATATATATAAATATTAAAAACCAATGCAAAAGTGATTTCGGAAATAAAAATGCTCATGCATGTGAATAATATTAGAAGAATAATTTGGATCCTATAATTTTCGAAATATTGTAACAATTCAAAAAATATATGTATGGCTTCGACTCTCAACAATATTAATTGGATAATTATAATTTGGAAAGAAGTATTGATGGTTACGTCAATTAGGAAAAAAAAAAAAGAAAACTTACCCAGCGAGTCAAATTTTCAAGTATATTAACTTCAACAAGTGCTTGACAATGAAATCTTTTCTTATTCCTAATGATTTTAACAGCAATATATTCTCCAGTTTTGTGATCTAAACACTTTAGCACCTGGCCAAAGGAACCTTTGCCTAACGTATCTACTATCTCGAATCTGAAACATAAATGATCACCCATCACTACTTTATAATCACCACGTTCATCGTCAAAACCATAATTACATCCCTTCAATTCAGGACTAGCAGCCGCTTTGGCAGCATTTGGGCCAACAAAGTAAACCTCTGGAAAGTCCATTATTTCTGTACGCTCATACAACGACAAATATGGTGCATAAGTTTTCAAAGCCTCTTGTGGTTTCATTGGGATTGAAAGTTCAAACCTTGCGTCTTGTTGTTCTTTTTTCTTTTGTGCTCTAAGTTTTCTTTTCTCTTGTTCAAGATCATTCAAGTAATTTAAACTATTACTATTCTCATCACCAACAGCCAAGAAAATTTCCTCATCAATGGTTTTATATCCACATGGTGTACTAGTTGTTGAAGAGGAAGATTCTAGATCGGTTAAGGATGATAATGAAGATGGCGATTTCAAATGATTTGAGCTGTTATGCAGTGAGGTTCCCAGGTGGCTTGATGAATGATTAATATTATTAGGAGCAGGCTGAGAATTTGTACGTTGTTTACGAGCTATGAGAGCACTGTTTGTCGTCGTTGAAATACCGGTAGATGTTGAAGCTTTACTGAAATTCGATAATGATGATGTACTATGTTGTTGACCTTGAATTTTATTATTATCCTTTGAAAAAATATTAATAATTGCATTAGAAAGTCTTCGTCTCGATTTTCTTGGTGTTGTGGGTTTTTCACTTATAATTGTGGCTAGACGAAATAAAAAAAAAATTTAAAAAAATAATCTTTATTAAATATCTTACTTTAAATTTCTCAAAGATTAAAGCTGTTTCTTTCGAAGCTTTGAAAATTTTTTTTTGTAAGCAAAAAAAAGAAACATAATAAAACAATTAATTAAAATTATTAGATTATTTTCTTTCTTTTCTATTAGGAAATCAATTTTCACACTTACTTGGTGTTTTCCTTTGAGACACGGAACTTTTTCTTCCACCGACGGATGATGATCCACGTGATGATGGTTTATTAGGAGAAACTGGAGCAACTCTTGTTGATTTATGATGGCCGTGATTATTTTGAGACAAAGGAGGAATACCACTACCACTTTTTATCACTCTAGGTTTGATACCTGTTGGTGTTGGTAATTTTGTTGAGAAGGTGGTACTGACAGCCGAAGTTGGTGTAGAAGGTATCCTTGAATTTCGTTCCAATGTGGGAGTTTTTGAAGATAGGGATGGTTTAGAATTAGAATTTTTCGGTATTTTAACTGGAGGCAGTGCTTGTACATTCATCGGCGGTAAATGTAATGCTTCTAATTGTTGTGGTACAGCTAGGCTGGCAGGAAGTGTCTAGAATAATAATAATAATAATGTTTATAGAAAAGAAATAAAAGAAAAATAGCATATATATATATAGAGAGAGAGAGAGGGGAGGTAATTTGGGGTGTAAGTGTATGAAATTTTAAAAAAAAATCCTTTGTTCTATACTTCTAACTAACAACAAACAGATCCAACCTGTCGTCTGATAATCTTATCACTAGATAGTGTTCCCGACGTCTAATTTAATTTAATTTAAATTTTAACAATTATTTTATAATAATAGATATATGTATGTATGGGTGTGATTGTATAAATAAAAACTATTGTTATTAATTATTGCTAACTAAAATATTAATATATATAGATATACATATAAACTATGATATATTATTAAATTATTATTATTTGTATTTCACATACCGTTCCTCTTTTTCTACCTACAGCTTTCTTTGAGGACGAGGCATGGCCATCTGTACTTCTATTGTTATCTCTTTTACTACTACGTGGTGGTGGTGTTTTATTATCCTCAAAATCACCTTTTGGCGCTGTTATACTTACAATTTTTTTATCAGAAGAAATATTGTTCGTTGAATCTTTCATTATTGACGAAGGTACTGGCGGTATTATTAATGGAGGTACAAAATCTTTTGATGATTTAGGTTGCGGTAATAAACTTGGCGGTACTGATGATATTGGGGGTGGAAGTTGAGTATCTTTTAATTGGGGTTGATTAAATGAACGATGAAATGAGACTGTTGGGGTTATATTTCTGCCAATATTTGAATTTTTTGGCAGCGAAGAAGATATGATAATATTATTATTACCATAACCATGACTATAATCATTGGCGTGATGATTATGATTAGAAGAATTATTTAATGGTATCTCAACTACAGATTTTCTTCTTCTTGTGGCGGAAGAAGGAGCGGTGGTATTTGAAGACATTGTTGATGACGTTAATGGTAATGATATAGCAGTTGTCAATGAACTTGCGCTTAGGATGCTTTCGGTTAAACTGTCTGATTTATCTAGAATTCCTTGAATGTTCTTTGATAAAGGTGGGAAAACTCCAGTGCTAGTATGATTTTGATTACGAGATGAAATTTGAGGTGACAATTTTGAATGTGAATTATTATTGTCATTATTATTATTATTACTATTATTATTTTGCAATGGCGTTATGGGCATTGTTTTTGATCTGGTGATACCAGGCAGTAAAGGAGAAGGAGTATCACCATGTATATCAGACTTAATATCATCACCATACGAACCTATAATAATTAAATTATTTTTATCAACAACTGATTTTTCATTGTTAAATTTTTTTAAACGATTACTATTACTACTTTTACTTCTATTATTATTACCGCTTAATCTTTTAGTACTAGAAGGTTCATTATTATTAAAGTCTCTGAATGAAGTAAAGTCCTCTAACTGTTGCATTGCACGAGCTTTTGTTGATGTAGTAGTGTCGACGAAAGGTTTTCTTTTACTATTATTATGGCTACTACTATCTTTTTTCTTATGTTTAGAAGATGAAGAAGAATTTGAATTAGGCGGTGAATTTAATTTTTCTTCAGATTTTGCACCTTTTAAGGTTTTTGATGATGGTGGTGATGTAAGATTTGAACTCACCATAGCAAGAGTTTCACTAGCATAACGACCGTGACTATAAATGTTATTATTAGTATTACTTGTTTTACTTGATGATGAGCCACTACTAGAATTACTAGTTCTTCTACTACTATTACTGCCTGTTGAACCATTTATCATTGATGATGAAGAATTTGGAGGAGAAGATTTGGCAGAATCTTGTGCACTTATACGACGATTTAATAAAGGTTTAGAATTGGTGGTAGGAGTCAATGCGGAAGAACGTTTAGACGCTGACGGAGAACGTTTTAGTTTTTCACCAAGATTGTTATTATAACTTGATGAGGAAGAGTCATTTGATATTGTGCTAATATTAACATCAACGTTATTTTTAGTAGTATTATTTTCACCAGGGACATCGAATAACTTTTTCATTCTACCAAGTAGTTGATTTGTATGACTGTCAAGTTCACTTTCTACTTGTTGTAAATCTTTAAATATAGACAATGTTTCTTTATAAGCTTCTTTGCTTGATTTTCTACTATTTCTTGGTCTTTCTTCTTGTTGTTCATCTTTTTGTGCAACAACATTATCAACAGTAGTGATGGCGACAACACCGTTATTATTGGTACTTCTGAGTGATTTTGAGCTTGACTTTTTTGAAAGACTATTACCACCTTTTTTATGTGATGATGAAGACGCTCTTGAAGAAGGCGACGAAGATGATATCAAGCTAGTGCTTGAAGAAGCATTGATGTTGTTATTGGTGTTATTGTTACTTAACCATGGTGGAAAATCAGAAATATTTGATTTATGTTTAGATTGACTAGAAGATTTACTTGAAGATGATGTAACTGTATGTCTTCGTGAAGAACCGGACTTTTGTGCAGAATCTGTATGCGTATATGTGAGTGTGTGTGTGTGTGCGTAAAATAAGATTATATTATTCAATTAATTATTTGGATGAAAACTCTCTTATAATAATAATGCAATGCTTATGACTATAGATTAAAAGCACTTTATAGCAAAAGAATAAAATACCACTAATAATATAACTAATACATGTTTAAATTTACAAGTATTGTAATAATATATATATAGAATAAATAGTAATAACGATAGTTTTCTTATTATTGATATAATGTTACTAAATATACAAACTTACCCATGACGTTTACAGATACTTCGCTTGGAGACATTGTCTTTTTTGTTTTGGTTTGTACTTTAGAACCAATTTTTGGTGAAGGGCTCAAGGATGTATGAATTTGAGTAGCCAATTGCATGAGTGCATTCTATATAACAACAATAATGATAATTTGTTAAATTAATGAATTTTTTTTTGTATGTGTATTATATATAATATTGCATAAAAATTATATTTCTACCAAAATAATAAAGTCCGACCGTTAAAAATATTTTTTAGTATAATAAATAAACTTGTATTTAAGTTTATAATTTTTATAATAATGTAATATATAAAAAGTAAAGAAGAAAAACTTTTTTTGAGAAAAATTAAAAAAAAATAATAAAAAAAGTAAAGAAAAAATTTTTTTGAATTTAGAAAATTAAAATATAATAACTATTATATTACATGTATAAATAAATAAATAAATAAATAAATAAATAAAATAATGTAAGTTGTTGGAATGGTAATTATTTTTTATTATTATATTTATTATATTATTATTTGTTTTGGACTATTTCTTTTATATTATTTATTTTATTATTGATTTGATTGGTTGAATTGAGTTTGGCGATTAGGAGAGTTATATGAATAGTTTTTAAAGCTGTTTAATGAGCCTTGTTAGGAGAATTGAAAGTATTTTTAGAGAGAAGGAGCAAAAAAAAATTTTTCTAATTATTTCTTTCTCCCATTATTAACCCTCTTTCTTCTTGCTATTATTATTCTTTCGCTTGTTATTCTTCCGTTTGTTATTCTTCCGTTTGTTATTCTTCCGTTTGTTATTTTTCCTTCTTTCCTATTATTGTCATCATCAATAATCCAAATAATTGATTAAGGCTTGATTTAAAGATTAAAAATAAAACCCGATTGCTTATTTATAATAATAGAAAATCGGTGATTACGACGAACCCCCCAACTACAGAAAATAAAAAAAATATATATATATAGGAAGTTACACAAAACAAAATGTCTGCTTTTGAATAATTCTATTAAGAAAATCTTAAAATATGCGACAATAAATAAAAACCAGGGATCCCTAAAATTTCCAAATAAGATTTGAATTAATGACATCTATCCTCTCCTATTAATAATAAATTCATCCGTGCATTCATCCATTATTTTTTACTCGCTCATTAATTTCCACCTTCCTTTTCTTTCATATTTGTTTGCAAGGTAAACAATTAATATTTAGCTCTAAAAAAATATAGAGATGATCATTTGTTGTTGTCTTTTTTTTTTTTTTTTTTTTTTTTTGATAATTTATAATTATGTTGTTTTGTTGTTAATTATTGCTAATTGTTGTTAAAATGCAAAATATCCCTCGGGTTTACTATTCATTCATTCATTCATTCATGCAAAAAAAAGAATGTAATAAAAATCGATTATTTTAGCACTTTCTATTTCTTGAAGAATTAGTTATAGTGACAATCACCAATTAATTTGCAATCGTCATTTTGTCTAAAATTAGAATAATACCCAATTGGGGAGGACAAATTTTTTGACAAAATGATAAAGCCACGCATAAAATAATACATCTAGAATGTGGCAAAAACAAGAAAAACACGTGAGAGCAGTGTAAAAACAATCTAAAAATTTCAAATTGTCAAAATTTTTGATAAAAATATTTTTTTAGATTAAATTTAATTTTTATTTAGAATTTAGAATAGAACAATGTAAAATATTGTTATTATTATCATTATTTATTTAATATAGAAATATTGGCGTTTCTTTCATCATTATTTTTATTTACTAAATAGAAATCTGTCTTTGCTCTCTTTTGATCTCTAACTTTATCCATATTTGATTAATAATGAAAATATTTATCCATGTTTTTCCTTCTCTTCTTTTCTTCTCACCATTCACACTCTCTCCTGAGCCAATTAATGTTTTCCATCATCTTTTTATTGTTGTTGTTGTTTAGTTGTTTATGAATAAATAATACAAAATGTGGGGAAATTTATTTATTTATCATGCGTAGTCAGTCATGTCGTAGAAATAGGTTGATCACTTGACTCAATCAGGTGACTTTTTGACGCAATTAATCAAGTCAAAACATATAAATAATTGAGTCAGACACAATTAAAAATTGAGATTTTAGGAATTGAGTCAAAGCCAATTAATTTTGACAACATGTATAGTCGTAGCAGTGAAATGATTTAAGGGTTCAAAGTTAAAACATACCACCCTGATTTTTAGTGAGATGTACATATAAATTTATTCCTAATTAGACTACCCATTCTTTTTTAGGTTTAATAATTAATTGTTCTTTTGGTTCAATGAATTCAAAGAATATCCAACTTCTGTTAACTGATTATGGGAATTGACAATTTTAGAACTTTTTGTTAAACATGGGTGGAAAAATAAAGATAGCTTATAGTGTAGTGTAAACTTGAGGCTGAGAATGTTAAAGTATAAAGAAGTGAAGAATGACTTAACAAACATGTCAAGAGAGGGGCCAATTATTCAAGCATGCTTGATCTTACCCAGAGTAGCTTCAAGTTTGTGAAGTTGAGAAAGTCAAAGTTTGTCTGTCAGGAATCAAAGGACTTGGATCTTATTGGCAATTATATAAAAGATCTGGAACTCAATGCAGCTGAACTTGTAAATGGAGAAAAAATTGCAAAGTTCATCACAGGAGGAAAGTTGCTAGATTCAGATTCTAGGTGTTTCGAGGCATATTGCTGTGAACCATTGAAGATGAGAATGGGTAAATATTCTGTTTCCCAAGTGTATTGTGAGGTGAACTTTGGAAGAGGCTTGAGGGTCAAGTGCAACAACCATGTTTTAAAGAAGTACTTGTCTTGAAAGTAGGGATGTGTCTATACTTAATCCCAGAAAGTGGGATATGTGCATATCTAATAATGACAATTACAACAGGGATAATTAGGTTATTAAAGAATTTGGGGTGGTAAACTACTGTTTAAAGATATTAATCACTATCATGAACAAAGCAATTTGCAAAATCATGTACCTTCATAACCAAACATTCAAATAAGGAAGGACTCAATATAGTATGTTTTCTGAGATTTCAAAATTTTATAATAAGAGAAATTATAGAGTAAAATTCAAGGGTCAGCTGAAGATGTGGATAAGAAAGTGGTCGAGTCCTTGATTAGTCAAGGTAAACAAATAACCTTTTAATTTAACATTATATCTAAAGACAGAATTAGAAGTCTACTTCTGGAAACTTCCATTAACAAATTCTATTTTCGTTAACCACACCATAAATAACATTTCTTAATTTTATATTTGATGTTAATCATATGATTTTAAGTTGTTCAGAAATTTTTTTGGTCTTCTTCAAGAGTTAAATCAGATCTTCTTAAAGACACACCTTTCAGATGCTTGAAAGTTTTCAATTGCTCAAGGATAATTGAATGTTTCATTTGAGATTTAATTCAGCAGCCATTCCCTTTTGTCTTAGTTCCAAAATCCAAACTTTTAATTGATTTTCTGCAGAGTGCTCTTTTTGTTCTGCATTTGAAGGGAGGAATCCTGAGTAATTCTACAACAGTTGACTTTTTCATTGGCAGTTGGAATAAGAGAATAAATTAAACAAATAGATTTAGCCCAAGTCCATAAATAAGCAGTTCTTAATTTTTCAAAAACTCATAACAAGCTGGAATTTTTTTTGCAATTACACAAATGGAAGAATGCAAATAAACCAAGTGTGAGACTAACTTATTAAATGAACAGAACATAAGCTATAAAAGCAACAAAAATTATATTATTTTTCAACTTGGGAAAGTTTTTTTCATCAATACCTAAACTTTTTCTATAAAATTTATCAATAATTTCTTTTGATAGTCTTGTGCCTTCTTTAACTCCAGGAGCCTGACAACGTCTAGCTGTGGCTTAACTTGTAGATTTCCATCAATGTCATAGTTTACACAACCCGCACCATTCATTAAATTCACCATGACCACCAAATAAATTCAATCCGTTTTGGGAATGTTTTGTTGCTTAAACAATGATGAGATCATTGTCCTTTGTAGATTCACAATACAAAGGGAAATATACTGAGTGGATTTTGTTCAAACAAGACGTTATGTTAATCAAATATCCAAGTTTTTATTTTTAACAAATGTCTTCAATTAGCTATTATAAAACGGTTTCTCCTAAATGTGTTTAAAAATGATTGTATTATTAATATTAGCAGAATATTCAATTTGAATTTACATCAACATCAAAATCACAAATTTTAATCACATAATCTTTGTTGGTGGCTTATCTTTGTTGGTGGCTTATTCTTGTTGAAAGAACATATCAACTCACTCAGCAGTTATTCATATGGTTGTTGTACCTGGTAATCTCCATCACAATTCACAACAGTTGGTTTATGGACACAATTGTGAAGTAACATAATACAAAGTGTACAACAAACTAGAAAGTATAGAAGAAACTAGAATCATTTTTTTATCTATAGCTTGATGGAAAGCATTCAGGTGTTGAAGATGAGACATTCTTGAGTCCCGGTTTTGACAGCTAAACAATGGAGATAGAACTTTATTCAAACTTCTGCAATTCAACATCAATACTTGCTGTTTACTATACAAATATATCAGAAGAAAAAGTTTCATGCCCATTCTTGAGTCTTTTACATATAGGACCTGGACAATACTATCAGAGGCTACATGCAAAGATATCAGCAAACTTTTTATTATTGCTAAATATGAGGGGAAAGATCATCCTTAAAAGCTGGTTGTCTGGGGTCCTCTTTTACTAGGATGAGAAAATGACACGTTGACACGTTGAAAATATGTGGCTTCAAAATTTTTCTGATGAACTTATGTAACCGATAAGGCCTCCACGTGATAATACGTTCAGCCCTCAAATTTTATGCAAACTCTTACACGTGTTGCCTAATTAGAGATGATCTACAGGTTTGAATAAAAATATCCAAATAAATACAAATTATATACTTATTCCACCTTATTGTATATTATCTTCATTCATTCATTCATTCATTCATTCATTCATTCATTCATTTATCCCTTAAATAATTCGCTTTACTAGTTTGCTCACCAATTCTAACTTTTTTATTATCAATAATTAAACTATTTGCATTACACTACACTACATTACATATCTTGTAGTATGAAAAGCTATAAAAAAAGATGGTTTAAAAATCGTTTCAATTAATTGCTAATATTGATACCAAATAATTTATTACGAGTGAACTGATGCCTTGTTTGATGTCATCATTTTGCGCCATGATTGCTTTGGCTCTTATCTTTGCTATTTAGTCTTTTATCACCTTCCTTTCTGTCGATATGAAGATAAAGATGAAATTCCTTATTTTCTTATTTTTCTTATTTTTCGTCTCCATAAGTGTTGTATTTTCTTACCTTGTGCCTATTGGCGATTACAGTACAAAGAGAAAGAGGAATGATTTACCGAGAACAAACTATGCAAAACCTAATGAGGTTATTTGTTGAACAAGAAATACAAGTTCGTGAGAAATTTGGAAAGCAGACGCTCACCAAGTTGTGTAGAAAGATTATCATCTATTGTTATCATCTATTATTACCATTACTATGAAATAAAGCAAGATTAAGAAAATTGACATATGCATGAACTATGCAAAAGGAAATGTCATTGCATAATTTATGAAATTTAATTTATGAATTTACTATGCACATAATATAAATTTAGCCAAAATTACTCAAGTAGTAAACAACTGTCAAAAAAAAAACATCATTATATTATTCCTATTGCTATAATAATATATATGTATGATTACACAATATATCTTTGGATTTATTGAACAATAAATTAATTGTTAGTTGTCGATTACTCCATATGGAATATAATAGTTATAGGGGGAATAACGCATTTTAAAAAACAAGGTTAGTTTTTAATTATATTATTTTTTTGTGTGCTTCAATCACAATCAATATTATTTTTATTATTATTCTTTTCAAAAAAAAAATTTTATAATGACAAACGTCATGTGACTACATGCTATCATAAAAACTTTTACTGTCCTCTTCCGCCGCAACAATAGTTTTTTCACTTTGCTAACTAAATCAGTAATTTATAATTTATGTTAATACTTTGGACACAAAAATATCCACCCCTGTAAGTATATATTATCATTCCCTGCTTTACAAATAAATAGAGATAGAAGGAGATAGAAAAATTTGTTCTATAAATTATATAACAATGTTGATGATAGATGGTATATGGAGTATGTATTTAAAGGAATAAATAATGTTTAGAGTCAGAAAATCGGGTTAATATTAAATATTGCTAGAAGGTGGAGGTGTAGTATTTATATACGGAAGGAAATAAAACAATAATAATAACAATAAATACAAATTAACCGTTTAAAGAAGAATACACTAGAAATAAACCATTTTTCTCATTAATTCTGCTAATAAAATACACAATTAAAATGTGTTTAGAAAGAACGATAGAGAAATGACAATATTTTTAGGTTCAATATGTCCAATATTGCATTAATATATTATTATAATCATTAAAATATAGAGATTAAAGAATAAATATAATAAATGAAGGTCAAGGTCCAAAGCTATTGTATTTTATTTATTAATATTGATATTATTATCAATTTTTAAATGGATAGAATTTTGAATTTATCATCAAAAGACTTTTTTATTGTTAATCAAACATATCAGATATAGTATTTAACTATCATGGTAAAATAAAAGCTTACATACGATGAATTGCAATCATTAGCTCTAATAATGATATCATCCTGTTGAATCCGGAATATCAGAGTATATAACAAAATTTTATGATAAAGATGCAACTGAGTCTATCACAAACATTATAAGATATTCTTTGCTTTATACCTCCACGACTGGTTCTTCCAGCCCCCTCCTGGTAATGTTTCTCAATTGGTGAAGGCAAGTCAAATTTGAACTAAAAGAAATATTTATTTAAATGTGAAAACAAACGACAACGGATAACGAAACTAACGTTTTCTTGTTTGTTCCTGATTAAAAATGCAGTAACAGCCTATCTCTATAGTTGTATAGTATTTTTGACATGAAAGAATTTTAAGATGCCTTAAATTGTAATATATGACAAAACTAGTTTTATTCCAAAGTTTGACACAGTTATATCTCTCTTAAATAAAAACAATTAATAAAATAGATAAATGGCGTTGCCGAAGGTATAAAATTGTCCATACTTCGTATTTCTATTCTACCTGCTTTTTTAGTAGTAGAGATGAAGTAAATAAGTATTGATGTCATTAGAGGCGGAAGGTAGTATTATTCAAACTGAATAACTTATTTCATTTAAGTGAATCTTTTGAAGGTAAATTGAATTCTAATGTATAATATCTTTCCTTGCACGCACCTAAACTGAATAAACCTCTTTAAAAAAATAATATTTGATGAATTGGGATCTTTGGTTCAAATATATTTTCTCAATGATTCAATATTCATTCATCAGCAAATTTTTTAATGTAAAATTATCATCAATTTGACGTAATATTTTTGCATCTATTTTACATACCCTTCGTAACAATAAGGTTTACATATACGTAGCAAAAATGAAAAAAAAATTATGTACTATGCAAGGATCACATTATTATTTGACACAAATATATACATGTTAAAATTGTATTTTATTATCAATAAATAGTATCATTAATTAATGTGCAAGAGGAATATACATTATTGTTAATATAATTTAGTAATTACAATTATGAATTATCCTTAACACTTGAACCGTTCAATTTCAGAAAATATGAGATAATTAGAAATTAACCTAAAATGGCCTTTAATAAAATTACATTGATGAGGAGCAAACCTTATTAATATTCCATCCATTTTTTTCGATAAATTTATCATCTATTAGAATATAATGGTGTAGAATATTTCTTTTATTTTTGAACAATCATGAATGCAGTACCAGAGATATTTCTAACAAAGAAATTTTTAATGCAAGTATATTTAATTATCAAGAAGTCTACAATAATAATGAACTTTATAATACCGTAAAGTTCCAAAAAAAATAGGGTATCGTGACAAATAACAATTTTCTATAAAATATAATGAATTTTGCGTGACAAACCATAAAAAAAGGAAATGTCACAGGTGCCATCTTTTGAAACTTTACGGTAGCAATTGTGGAAAAAGATTGAAAAAAACTCTCCTGGCTGTAAGATTTTTGTATTCAAATAAAACAAATTGTGATTCTCTGGGAAAAAATCTCAACATCTGATTTATTTAAGTGGTAACATTTCTTGTGAATACAGAAACAAGTATAAAATTAAAAGTTTTACTCCAATTCAAAAGCAAGAAAGTTAGTTCTTTTGATGTTTCACAATGCTATGTCAAACCTTTGATTGAATAAGAAAAGGATGATATGGAATTATCATTTATATGATTGTCTATTAGAAAAAATAGAAATATTCCATTTAATACCTCTTGAATCCATTAAAGAATGCCATATTATTCCTAGATTTAATAAAGAAAATGAATTTTTAGTAAACAAATTTTTATTTTAAAACTTGAATATATAAGAAAAACTTTATAATTGATGAAAATATTTTGCATAATTCTATGGAGATAATAAATTTACTATGGTGTCTATTATATGTATTGAATGAAAATATTTCGTATATAATTTACACATTCATAAATTTTTGCCATATTATATAAATGTAAGCATAGTGATTTACAGTGCACGGAAAAAGTTTTCGGAATGGAATTTTTATTTATGGTGCAACGAAAAAAAGCTAACAATTCATGAAAATTTATAGATATGCTCTTTGTGATTTGATAAATAAGTTTACTTAAAACTACTTAGTAGCTTATCTTATTGCCATTTTTCTCAATAACTTCATTTAACCTTGACGGCGTACTATGAATTAAATTAACAAAAATTTTTTTGTCAATCCTTTCTTAATTATTTCACGAAAACTTTCTGCAGTAACTGGTTTTTTTAAAATTAACACTTTATTGGCTTGCTTTTCAACACGTCTCTTTAAAATTTGCCACAAATTCTCAATTGGCTGGGCAATTTGATGGCAATCCAACATTTTTGGACAGTGTTGTGCAAGAAGTCCAGCTGTATGCCTAGGGTCGCTATCTTGTTGAAAGATCCAATGGTTTCCCATGACATTGTTTGCATTAGCAAATAGATTTTCAGTTAAAATCTTTCAAAAGAAAATCATGTTTATTTGAAACACATTTTATTCTGAAAACTTTTTTCGTGCACTGTATATATATCCATAAATCTATGAATTCATCTAATTTATATAATGCTTTGATGTAACTTTTGATGCTTCACAATTTTATGCCTAAATTTTGTGTAAAAAAGTGTAAACATGTAATTATTGCGTAGGATGACGGTCTGAAAAATTTGCTGATGAAAACAACAACACCATCATCCTGATTAATGGCTCTGCTCTTCGTTATGATCTTCAAAACCTTTTAATAGAAGGTCTTCATACATAGGTAAACTCGATAAGTTGGACACTCGATAAGTCGGATTTGGCCTAACTCGGACAAAAATTTCCAGCCCTTTTTTTTTATATTTAAAAAATTCTTGATAAGTCGGACACATATATAAACTCTTGTTAAGCTGTAAGTCGGACAACACCTCCAGCCAGATAATAATAAATGACTCTCGATAAGTCGGTTCACGTGATTTTCGTAAATCTTGAGAGATAATCTTT